CTTCGAGGTACCTACCCAGGTGCTTCAGGTGAATCAGAAGCAAGACTCCAGGGTCGAACAATCATAACAATCCTGAGAAGGTACGTACCGCCACTCTGTTGATATCACTCATGCCAGCTCATGCACGAGTTGGAATCAGAGTCCAAGTCAGATGTGAGATGGGCTTGCTCAGCCTTGAGCTCACAGGAATGGGTACATACCTAGCCAGATCCTACCTGGAGCATTTGTCTCGCTGCGATCAGTTCTCCTTGTCCTTGAATGCAGTGGGGCTGCAAACAGTTCTCCTTGCCCTTAACTCCAGTGGGGTGGCTTCTGGCACAGCTACACGACTTATCTTGTAAACGTATGTACAGACGACATTTCGTTGTTAGGTTATTTGAGTATGGCAGGGAATGCGGTCGCCGCCGCGCTCTGTCTTGCAAAGAAGCTTTACACAGCTATACTGAAGGTGCCCCAACTTCGAAAGCAGTGTGCTGATCTGGAAAACGTGGTTCTCTCCTTGGAGGCGGTGATTGAGAACCTTGCAGATGCAGAAGACAATCACAATGTGCGGCGCCTGTTAGGAGAGTTGCAGGATGCGCTTCAAGAAGGCCTGGGCATTGTGCAGCAGGGGGAGGGGAAGGGTCTCCGCAATTGGGCCCGCCTTGTGCTCCAAGGGGAGAATGTTGCAAAACGATTGGCTGCTGTTTCGCGCCGCATAGAGCTGGGACTGAGCACGTTAATTCCTGGGATCAGGGGTCAGATGGGGAAGATTGACAAGAATGTTGCCGAAGTAAATGCACAGCTCAAGGAGTTGAAAGAGCAACTGGACAAGAATGCTGAGGCTATAGAGAAGGACAGGGCGGAGATTCTTGATCGGGTAAGGAGTTTGGTAATTGCAGTGCTTCCAGTGGTAGAAGTTACTCTGAGGTAACCATAATAAGATTGCTTTCTCATTGTCAGTGACTTAGGGTTTGGGTCTACACCTTTGCTATGGAATCCACACAATGCCAGCACTCAATGACACATCCAGGTTCTTTTTTGACTGCCATGCTTTCGAGTTTTACTGGGTCTTGAATTGAATTGCACGCATGATGCTGTATATCCTTGATGGCGTCCTAAGTTCTGAGAGCACAGGATAATAGCATACCAGTTATGGTTCTTCTGACGTGTCTCAGTTGCATTGTTAGTTGACTTGTACGGCCATTTTCATATTGGCTCTTACGTTGGAATCTTTAAGTTTAAAGTGCCGCAACTTAGCAAGGACAACAGCATTATGTTCACTCGGCTCTCCTGTGTGCTTGCATTCTCCAAGTTCACTGAGGAATGGTATCATTGGAATCAAGGCCCGCATCCAGCATCCCCTATTATTAAGAATTGAGCAACAGAAAAGGAAATGCGCTAAGAGCGCGCCAAGCAACTACCTTTTGATCATGCAGGTGCGCAAGGTTGCTCAGAGGGGCGGCAGCAGCAGCGATGCGCAGCACAATGGGGAGCGCATCATCGAGCTTCTTGCACAGAGCAGCATGGGGACAGTCAGTGTGGACCGCCTGGAGAAGGAGTGGAAAGTGTTTCGCAGTGAGGGCATGCTGGGACCAGGCGAAGGACAGGCTTGGGTCTCAGACGCGGACATGGTGATAGAGGACGTCATGTTCAGGCACGTGCTGGACACAGAAAAGCTGCTCGAAGAGAAAGAGAAGGCGGAGCTGGAGAGCCTGCGATGGAAGGAGGAGGCCATGTTGGCAGCTAAAAACGCAGCAGAGAATGAGAGACTGAGAAGAAGCGTGGCGCTGCTCAACCAGGAATTGGAAGCCACCCGAGAGAGCCGGGACACCTCTCAGGAGGCACTCAAGGTGAGGCTCTTCTCTTTGAGGTCATACTTGATGACTAATGTCAGACAGATCTTCTGTGTGGGAGTCTGAGGCGTGCCGAAGGCTGGAAGGAACGGCATCTAGGCGAGAATATGCCGGAAGAATCTCTTCCTTCGTGACTTTACCTGCATCGAGCTCTGCCTTGTAATTGGTGTTCCTTCTTATAGATCATCAGTTTCTGAGAAAAGCATGACGAGCAACTGCTTCACAAAGCATTTAATATCTTAGTTGCAACCCACCACCCAAGGTTGAAGCTTTATTCGAGTACAAAGCCAGGTTTGTGGCGGTTTACATGGGACACGGTGTTTCTGCATCTTATTGTCCGATCTGGACACAAGCTTCTGCAATCCAGTCTCCTTTTGGAACAATGAGTACAGATCTTACCAAGCATTTTAGACCATTTAGACTGTTCTCAACGAACACTATCTTATCAGACAATCAGTTGTCAAATTATGCACCTATGATACCTGCAAGACCTGATGATTTTCCTTACGTTGCTGGCAATGACCCTGACCCCTTGCCCATGCAGAAAGCTTTCGAGCAGATTGAGAGTAGCACGCCAGCGCACATCTTGGAGAGGATGTTGAACGAGTTGCACGCGAAAGCAGGCGTGGCAAAGGAGAGTGCAAAGTCTGATCATCAGAAGGCGGACCATCTTTACCCTAGGAGCTTTACCTGCCGCATTTGCTCCTGCACGCTTGAGGACCCAGTCATTGTGGAGACGGGTTACTCCTTCTGTCAGAAGTGCCTTGAACAGCATCTAGGGAGTGACAAGCCTACATGCCCGGTCACAAGGAGGCCCATCAACAACAGGCGAGGATGTGTGCTCATGCTTGTTGAGCTTTTGCAGGCTTGCTACTGTAGCACCTTTTCAAATGTTGCTACTTTGAGCAAGGTACCCGAGCTTTCTTGCAAATTGTAAGAGTTCTAATGACAGTTTCGTGTTGAGTATATCAAGTGCAGTCGAGCCCTGGGAGGCTCACCCTACAGAAGGTTTCAACTGGTATATGATTGTACGTGCTGCCTGCTATCCATCTGGTCACGACGTTTTTCAAGAAACGAAGGCCCCCAGTCACTGTCCTCTGTCAGCTTTGATAACTCACCAACGCACGCATCGCTGCCTCTTTGCAGGATTGCCATCAAAAACATCGACCTCCATCTCGCCATCACCGAATGGTGGGAGTGGCTGAGTGACTGGATCGGTCGGGAGCGCGCCCTTCTCTCATGCTCGAGGCCCCCCGACTCCCCTCGCTCCATCATCTCGTCCCCTCGTCAACAGAGAACAGTCAACGGTCTAGCTGGCGAGGATGCTTCCAGCACAGTCAGCGCAGAGGTCACGAAGGACCCTGATGTCATGGCAGCGCTCTCAAACCTCTTGCTGGACGGCGGACTGAACGCGAAAGTGGCAATTGGAGCGGAGCAGCTGACCGACCTCCTCCAGGCCCACCCGCAGAAGTGGATGCAGGTGTACGAAGCTGAGGCCGTCGAGGTATGTAGGCCTGGTTGGTGCTCAATCGACTCTGGACCAGCCTAAGAGCTTGAGATCCTCTGAGCATCTTCTTTCCCGGAGCATTCTGAGCTATCGACTGTCAGCCTTGCTATCTGCTCGGTAGTTGGTAGTGTTACTCCAGCTTGAGTCCATTGCTCAGGGTGCTACATGAGCGAAGTACTGACATCACCCGAATGGAGGTCTGCCTCCTTGAAGAACCTTCTTCATTTCGAAAGTATTTTTCAAGGACTTTGTTTGCACCAAAACTTGGACATTGGTTTTCTTGCAAAAAGTAATTTCTCGTCAGCCTGCTTTTTTGAGTCAGATGAAATCCAAGGCACTTATGTCACTCAAAAGTTTCTGAAAAACAAAGTCATACCTTGCACTGCTCTGACTTGCGTGCGCTCATCTGCTTGCAGCCTTTGGTGCGCGTCCTAGGCTTAAAAGGCCAGGTCCGGCTTTTCGCAGTTACGGCCCTGGAAGCCATCATGGCGGCTGCGGTGCGGGAGGCATATGGAAACAACAACAAAGTAGCAGAAAACGTAAGTGCAGGGAAGGTACTGATGCCTCTTTCGGGGAGCTAATTGACAGCACTACTTGATTGCCCACAAGGAGCTCGTTGTTCGCGTTTGAGGTATGGTTTCGAAAGGGACTTCGGTGGCCGGTTCCAGTATGCGAACCACTCCGATGCAATTCGCATCATGATCCTTGGACCTTGGAGCGCCGAACGTTTCGAACTTGGTGCGAGAGTTTCCTGGGTGCAACTTTGAGAACCCTGCTTGACATGAGAGACGTTTTCCGGCCGCTTTTGCCGAAGGCCCGGTTTTGCTTTGTCGAAAAACAGCGCACATTCGTTGCATGCATTCCGCAGTCTTCAGTCCGGTCTCTGCCTGAGCGTGTGACCCTCCGGTCAGTCATCTCTATCGTCCTCGTTTCGTTCTGTAGATCTGCAACATCCTTTCTGCTTGACAGGCCTGCGGAGAAATCATCGAGAAAGCCCGCGACAGCTTGCTCGAGCTTCTGTCGGACGAGAGTCCTGCCGTCAGAGGCAAGGCCGCAGAGACGATCGGACACTGTCTGGAAGTGCGGACGATATCGGTCCTGCTAGCCAAGCAAGAGAAAACCGGCCTGATCACCGGGCTCGTGCACCTAAGTTTTGCGGAGGTGAGCCAACTAAAAGCGCCTGAGGAGACGTCCGGTTCAGAATCTGAGTGCCAAAGTGCTGCGACTGCAGTTTCTACCAGTTCCCTTTCTTGGTATTCATTCCCATCTTCGACGTTGGTCAGAGACTGATTGACCACTAGCCTAAAGAAAGATCAATGTATACAACCGTGCTCCATTGATCATCAGATGGTACGGCTAACAGAACAAAGGGATGTAGGCTGTCAAAGGAAGTACGTATCGCCAGATTTATTGACTGGTCTGGTTGGCCTCTTACGGAAAGTTTCTTTTCCCTTCACAATCGATTGGGTTCTTTCCAGTGCCAAAAGTTTGGTTGTTCATATACAATTGATGGAGCGAAAATGCTCAGCCGCAGACAGCTTGGAACCGCTGATTCCCTTACGATCGGCTGCTTCCTCAAATTCTGAGGTATACCATCACTAATTTCGTTGTGCATGAATTTGAAACCTGCCAATTTGCGGTCGGGTACCAACCAAGCTGCCTTCTGACACGTCCTGACCAGCGTTGCGGAGCTGACCGTTTGATAGATGCTACGAGATGACAGGGAGTTTACTCTAAACGTCCTAAGTCAATCTCGTCCAATAAGTCAATCTCGTTCGGATGCCAGTGGTCTCTGGCATGCGTCAGCACTGCCTGAGATCTCCGGTTGCTACTGCAGGGATTGCACGAGATGATGCACGGGGTCCACGGCCCAGCCACGGTTGAATGCGTGCGCGGCATCGGCCGCCGCGTGCTCTGCCAGCTAGCAAGAGTCGTCGTCACAAACCAAGCGCAGAGCGCCAAGCTAGCCGCGGACCCGGCACCCGAGGACGTCGTCGATTCCCTGTGGAAACTCGTCCTCGACCGGGCCACGACGATTGAGGCCTTGCAGATGCTCACCTGGCTTGCTCAGGGGGCGCCGTCCGGCCTTTCGGAGCAGTCGGTGGTAGAGGGCGCAGGCGCAAGGGAACGGACGGCTGTTCTCACCTACCTGTTGGGGCAGGCCGAGAGCAACAAGCCGCTCAGGCTGCCTCTCGCGAACTTCCTCGCCGGTTTGGCGGCTACCGTGAGCGAGCCGGGCGACCTGCTTGGGACTGGGGGAGTCGACAAACTGTTGCGCCTACTTCAGTCGTTGGTGAAGGAGATCGGAGCTGAACCGGGGGCTGCGGAAGGCTGGGCTTGTGTGTCGTTCTTGGTGGATCTCCTCGCAACCACGTCTACAGGGGAGGGGGAGGACGAGACACAAGAGGGGTCGGCGGACGTCAAGAGAAGGGAGTTGTCTGTGACTACTCTTTTGGAGCTACTGAGATTCACGACGAGGGAGTCCCTTCCGAGAGCACGCTTCTCCGATCTCGGCTCTTCGCTTCAAACCTCCGTCCAGAATGCGCAGAGCTCAGCATTGCGCTGCGTCGCAATCCTCTCGGTCAGCCGGCCATTTGCGCGGCGTTTCGTCGAAGAGGGAGGAGTCGAGCTAATTTCCCGGGTCCTCCAAGCGGTCCGCTCGCGCACCCGGGACTGCGCAAAGGCGCTTGCGGGATTGATGGCAGCGTGCCCGGTAAAAGCGGAGACTGCGCTCAAAAACTCCGCGGCGCTGGTAGGATTGTGCAAGATTCTGGACGGCGGGAACGGCGAGGAGCGACTTGCGGCCCTGCACGTCTTGGACCTGGTGGTATCGACCGGTAGCGTGGCGCAGAATCTGGAGCCGGCGTGGCTTTGCCCGGAAGGAGAGGAGTCGGCCAACTGCCGCGCAGCTGGCGTGGAGCTGTTTGCCAAGCTCTCGAGCACCAATGGCTGGGGCGATCGGGTAAGCGTTGGAATCTTTCCTTCATCGTATGCAACTGGCCTTGTACCAAATATCTGGCTCGTGAGTTTGATCTTAGAGATCGACCGAGGAGTTGCACATTACTGGCATGATAGGCTCTCTTGCGTCAAGTAGGCAGGCAACAGAGTGCTCTCATATTTATGCGGGCTCCTTACGAGACCGTTTTGCTTGATGTATATGTTAGCAGAGCTCCCGTTGGTCGCTTCCACCTTTTAATAACGTCGGCAGCATATCAGTGATCGATTAAGGCCGCGGCCAAAAATTGAGGGTTTTGCATAGCTGTTGTCAAAAGCTATGAGGCGCATTGTAGGTCAAAAGGCTCTGATTCGTTTTGGGGGCCAAAAAGCTGTGATTGGCAGTCCAGATTGCTCGAGTTCTGCAGATAATGATCCCGAGCTTGTTGGCCCGAAGGTCAGGGCCGAAAGAGAGAATGGATTCCCATGTTCACAGCTATACTCTACTAATGCAGGCAGGCTAGTTTGGGTCTCAAGGGATCCAGTATTGCTCTCTCCATGCCTCACCAGCTATATTGGTTCTCTTCGAGCTTTATACTTTGACTGTCTTGTCGCTTCGAGTCCTATTGTGCAGAAGATTGAGCATCACAGCAACACCTGAAATGATTGGTCCCCTGCTCCAGGGCACGGCCGCGATCGGCGCGGCTCTCGGCTTCCTCACTGACGCCCAGAAGCGCGGGCTCGTGGGCGGCCCGGCAGTGCAGAGCGTCTTGCAAGCGCTCACAGCCCTCACCAGTAACGCGCAACTCTGCACCGCCCTGATGGGCGACAAGCATGGGGTGACCGTCCTAGTCCAGGTCGCCAAGCAGCTGAGGACTCCAACCGCCCAGATCATGACGCAGATCAGTGAGTGCGTCCCGGAGACCGCGGCTGCTGACAGCAGATTTGTGGCGGCCCTCGTGAGCCTCTTGGACGATCCGGACGCACAGAGCGCGGCCGCAGATGCGTTGGACAAGCTAGCGTCCGGCGCTGTGAACCTCGGAAACTTGGCGGGGGCTGGAAACGCGCACATTACCGTTCTGCTGAAGGCCGTTCCGCTGGCGAAAGTGGAGGACAAGGTCATGCTCGTGCGGGTTCTCTGGCGGCTCTGCAAAGGGATCGGCGCGGCTGTGATCGAGGCAGTCGTGAGCGGCGGGGGGGTGAAGATTTTGTTCACAGCAGCGAGGACGCTGGAGGCGAGCGGGCGAACCGGAGACGCCGTTGTAAGCCGACTTGGATTAGCTGACCGAGTTCTAACCTTTCTCGATCTGTACTTGGAGGGGTCCGTTGGCACAGTCCGTCTTCTTGGCGTCTTTTCGGGTGCCGCCTGTGGGCTCATCGATATGTTGCCTCACAAGTGATTTTTGGGCCTAGCCAGCTTTTCCCGTAAGGGTTGGCCAGAGCGGACCTTCAATGTGTTCCATCTTGAAATGAGTACAATGAGCACGAATATTCGCACTCTAGGATTTCGTCTGAAGTCCAAAAAGGAAAAGCGGTTCGACGAGTTGTTGCGACATCGTAGTCCAGCAAAGGGTGTTACTGCTTTGTGCGCAAACTTTCGCGACAGTCTGAGAATGTTGCCTACCAAGCCTAGGCATGATCAGGTGTGCGAAGCCTTCACCCTATGAGCCAAAACTTTGTGAAGTAGAACAAAAGTTGAATCAAAAGTTGCACTTTGGTGAGACCATTGTAACCCCGGTCACCTTACGGCTTGCAGGCATGCCTGGTTGCGATCGACAAACTCGAGGTTGCTGCGACGGACTTGGGCAGAGACATCGTTGCCGCCAGCGCTACGGCTTTCCTGGTCAAGCTTCTGGATGCCAGCGTCAAGGGGAGTCGGAAGGACAGGGTCCGATACGCGGTGTTCTTTCTGGGGTGCGCGGCTCAGGTGGACCCCGATGCTTGCATGCACGCGGGCATCATTCCGGCACTCGAGCTGCATCTGGCGGATGCAAAAGACAAGGACGAGTGTACCCTTGCGGGGACAGGTGAGCAGGGTACTTTGGAAATGAGCATGTGTGTGCGTCAAGCAGCGCCCTTCGAGAGCGGCCGCCACTTGGGAAGATACAACATTTTGGGACTTCAGCACTTCGATTCGTCAGCTCAGCTTTCAGAGTAATCCTCTTTCTGAAGCAGAATGAACAAAGGTTATCGGGCTCTGGAAAGAATGGACTCATTGATTGGAGAGAACAGAAGCTTTCATAATTGAAACACGAGCGTTTCGCCCTTTTCGTGAGAAACAAACGGTAAGTCAGAGCTTGAGTACTCCTCAAATAGAATTCCGCCAGATATACAGGGAGTCGATTCAAAGATACTGTCAGACCTCAGTAACACTTAATGTGTTCAAAGAAACCAGGCTTCAAAAGTCACCGGCAAGGTAATAATAACAGCTCTTCACTTCTGAGTTGGAACTCATTTTTGGCTGTGTTATTTTACTACTTCACGATCCTTTTCTTTGCGCAGAGGTAATAGCTGCCCTGTTAAGCGGGGTAAGCGGGGAGACCGCCAAGGATGCCCTCGTCAAATCGAGTGCAGCGGCGCACTGCGCAGCTTTGGCGAGAGCCGGCAAGCGCTGCCCGGGGAAAGCGCAAAACGTCTCGTGTGGAGGGGAGTGCATCAATGAGGCCACGAAAGTGACCAAGGAGCTTGCACGCTCAAGGTCGTCAAACAAGGTGGGTCGTTTGTGTCGAGATCTTTACGAACTTTCTCTCTATTCGTTATGTCAGAAGCGGAGCTTAATGATTTTTCGCTTCAATGAAAGCCCTCTTGTTGACCATTGAAACTCCAAGCTCGGTCTCATTGAGCGAAAACTTCCTTCACATACACTTGCTGAGCAATGTTTTGGGTACATGCTAACGGGTAAAAGCAGATTCACCAGGCAGCAGGCAAAAGTGTGTTTCAACTTCGACAAATTGGCAGCGCAAGCGCTGGGAAAGAATCACAACGGCCTATCCCGCAATTTTGCAGTCTTCTTGGCGTGGCACACTTGGACGAGTCAGCTCCAGCTTGGGGTCTTGACCGGTCTTCACAACGCAGAACGAAGTTGGCAGAAGCCACGCCAAACAGCAGGCCACTGAACTAGATCAAGCACAAAGCATCTTTGTCAGGTATTTATTGCCGAAGGTGTCCTTTGAAAGCGTCAAGGATCACAAACAGGTAGAGGAAAGTGGAGATAGAGAAGGTTCAATAATTCATGCCAAGAGAAGGTTGTCGTGCTTGTGTACACTACACTACCGTTTGAAGGTGTATAGGGCCGGTCTTGAATAGCATAGGCCAACCGTTGATTGCAAGAGCTAGAGAGGAAGGGAAGACACAAGCAGACGAAGCGACCACCTACGATGTACAGACCATGTATACTGAGCTGCTGCACTCGGACCCAATTCACAACTCAAAGAAGTGCCCATGTCTTGGCTGATACCTGAGAGTCTATCATTCGTGACTGATTTAGTTGATTGAGTTGCATCTACCTCAATCGCCGGCGACCGTATTGTGCTTTTTATACCGGATAAATATGCAATCATGCAGGCTTCAAACCAGTAGATCGGCCGCTCATAAAACTCGGTTGTTTGGAATGATTTAAGGTTGATTCGTTGCACAGCTGGAGTCATGCATGTTGATGTTCAAGAGCGCCTCCAGGACAGCCTGCATCTTCGCAGTGCAGCAGAGCTTTAGTAATCAAGTCGCTTATGGACGGTACCATCGCATCAGCATCATGATCTTAGACCTCCTTCATATATATAGTACCTTTCGATCCGCGTTCCGTACGTACGTGAATCCATGTGATCATACAATACCATGTCTTGCATTTGCAAAGCCAGAGCTTGCAGGGTATTCAAAGCGTGATCAAATGACGGTGCGGTGTACTACAGTTGTACGATGATGTCAATCAAGTCCGATCATTCAGCGCACCTCGAGCTAAGTAATGACAAGGGAGGATTGATGAGATGACGTCCATGATCATTCAGAGACCTCGGACGTTGCTTTCAACTTGAACACTTCGAACAGCCGCGTGATCGATCGTTCGCCTCACTCACCACAATGGCCGGATTAATTGAAGGCCCGACATGTTAACATGTCGTTGGGACAAAGCACCTAAGTTTATATGTCTTCCGTGCCCAATCATTGAATCGAGCCTGCCCCAGCTGAGACACGAATGCTAAGTTTGCTTCCCGCACCGTTTCATGTTCTCGAAGGCGGGACTCAGCCGTAAGCTCTCATCTGATGGTCGGATCAGCAATGACCGCCAATCCATGAAGCGACCACTCAATCCGGCCACCGATCGCTTGCAGTCGTCTTTAGAACAGCCATCAAGGCTACTTTACTTTCTCGCTGCACCTACACAGCATGCTAGTGGCACGTTACGGGTGTCAGCTCCGTCAGATTGACTTAACAATGGAGGCTCAAACCAATATCGTCTTTGTCACTGTCGTTTGCGGACAGACGTGTCGCAAGTCGCCAATGATTCGATGATTTTGTGCGTCATTCGATGCCATGCTCCGCTCGCCCTTACAGTCTATGTCTTGAAGCCGCGGAATTGTGGCTCAACCCCGTGCACAAGCCTCTGAATTGAGTTACTTCAGGTTTCACATCATCCTAAACTCTGACTTCAGAGCTTTAATCATCGAGAAACAAGTAGCCTCATTCTCAGGGTAATGACCTATCGGATCGTCCAACTGAACGTTCACACCTGCAAGCCCCGAAAGAAACGCATGGAGGCAGTACGCCGCATAACTTACGGAGTACCCTCCCTCTTGAACAAGTAAGACTCTACCTTCGGCGTGTTTTGCTGCCAAGTCGCGTATCCGCTCCCCGAGCCGTTTGTAGCCTGCCATTGTCAGAGCTTGCCGGCCGTTTGGGTCGAACTGCAGAGAGCTTTTTGTGATCAGTCCGTCCAACAATTTATCATGACTGTTGGCAAAGTGCCAGACCTTCGTCTAATTCAAATCAGAGAGTCATCCTTAATTGACTCTTCGATTCAAATGAGATCAAACAGCGACGAAAAAAGCCCGGATCCTCGCAGGATTGCTTGAATGAACGGGCTTGCAGTCACCTTGCGTCCTCATCAAAGGGTAGGACTTAGCAGAAATATAAACGTGTAAAATCTGAATCTAAACAGCTGCAGTCGAGGCACGAACAACGATTGGTCCTGACCAGTCTCGCACCCAAAGTCCTTAGCTTGACAGTGCAATGCATGTATCAAGCAAACACCAAAAGCTAGAAGAACGACCACCACGACACGACTGTGTGTCTACAAACCGGGCAGTAAAGCTCACCGCGCTTCCGTCTAATTCCAAGGGCACAACGATCAGGTTTGGCGCGAACCGATCCACAACAAGCTCCACCAGTTCTTGCATCGCATAGTCGTAGCCCTTGTCACCCGTGCCAAACGGCAAGGGAATGTTCACGTTCGAACTGCAACAAGGATCGGTGTAAGTAGACAATTACGAAGGGAGCTTCGATTGGCACCCGCACAATGAAGGTTGGTGTGAGATGGGATGGCTGCGAAGCTGCGTGCTGGAGAAACATGTCAGAGTCCAAGCCATCGAATCAGTAAATCGACTCATGACGGGAAGAACGATGTCTTGTCACGATGTCTTCTCCAAGGGATGACTTTCTCTAGAGCCCAAGGGACTCTACGAGAACTGCTCCACACATCCTGCAGTATGCACGACAAAAATAATGCGCCCTGGTACTAACTCGGGCGCGCCCAGGAAGAACACGAAGTCTATGTTTTCAAATCTAGGAGAAAGAAAAAGCAGCCTGGGTTGATTGGAGTTACTTGGGGGGTTGAGGCTGGTTCACGGTGTAGAGTGCGTAAACTGGAGCACTGAGTTTTTGCTTTTTCTCTATTTTGTAAGAGCTCAGCATTTTCGAACCCGGGAAACGTACAGGCTTGGAAACGTTTCTTGGAATGCGCGTCTGCTGACTAAGGAGACGCATCGGACTGAACAGGACAACAGTGTTCTCAGCTGACGTCAGCACGGGATGCTTCAGAGCGTCCAACGCGCAGTCCAATCGGTACGGACCTTGGAGCAATCTATTGCAAGTTACACCCACTCACTCGAAACCGATGCTTCCGAAATTTATATTGCTCTGCTCTTGAGGCACGAACCCTGTCGCAAAACGTCCTTGGTATCGAGCACGAAACAGACAAAGAGAAACCATACTTAAAATCAGTTCTCTCTCATTCGCCCTACTCCAAATCGCGACCAAGCCGGAAAGCAATGGGTGACTACAAGACAAGTTAAGCAAGGACCGCTCTTTGAGAAGGGAAGCCATCAAAAAGCTAATCTTCTCGCATCACGCCAACTCTCACCCGGCGCCCGAGCCCTCGCCCCGCTCCGAAGTGGCACCTTGCTGCGGATGCGTTTCCTCATCCCACGACCCGTGATCCATATGCAAGGAGATTGTCAGCACGTCGGGTGAAGTGTAAAAGCCCTCCTGAGTTCCGTTCCCGTGATGAACATCGATGTCGATCACCGCGATCTTATCGAAGCCGGACTGGCGCGCTTGGGCGACCGCGACGCCGGCGTTGTTTACGAAGCAGTACCTGCCAGCAGCATACGTCCAGCGATCAGTTCCAGAAATGTGGTTAGTCAGAGAAAATTTCCGGATGATTGTCGCAGGGCGTGATTATAGACCATTAATCATTTCGTTCTGCTCTCTCAGTTTGTTCACCAGCAAGAATATTGTGCTCGGTGTACTAAGCTTCGACCATTCTGCTTTCTCGTTTTGTTTAGCAACAGAACTTTTGTGTGCGATTTATGAGTACCAATAAGTGCGCTCGTTCTTGAAGACCACAAAGTACATTTTTTGCCTTCATATGATTCGTCTGCGTTTCGACTTACGACTTCGCAAGCGCTGAGCGTCATGTAGGCTTATGCTGTCTTCACAAGCTCTACGATTGAAAGTGCATCTCTTCGTAGGGGTTCGAGGCAAAGCCCCAGAAGTATAGGAGTCTTCTTGGGAGTCTCAATAGTTACAATGATCTCGGGAGAGGGGATATGCAAGTCGACATTTCTCGACCCTAGAGGAGCTTCCCCCATCACAGACGCACTGGTTTGTCTGCCTCAGATCATGATTTCGCAGGGAGTAGGTTTATTTGCAAGGCAGCAGACTTTCTTCATCTGGAGTTAGCACCTGAGAGTGGCCTGAAATCAACTCGACTATTCAGCAAACCTATCATCGAACATACTTGGACGTCTTACCACTCGAGATTTGCTTGTCTCCTGTTTTACCAACTGACAACCTTCGTCCTAACAGAATCGCACCTGTCAAAACGACGACTTTGACACAAAGTGTTCCTACACTTACCCGTCCGCTCTGTCTGTCTGTGCGTGGTGTCCAGGCGGCCTCACAAGCGCATACGCAACCTTCCCCGCTCCCTGGACAATGCAATCTAGAGCGGCTAGAGTTGTGCCGGCAGCCGCTAGAATTGCATCGTAACTCCCTGGGTTCATGACGGTGCCCCCGGCCATGATGACACTGTCGCCATGACCGTCGGCGGCTTTGGCTGCCGCCTCTAGTTTCTCAATGTAATCAGGTTTGTGGAAGAGAAGCAGTTGCTTGGCGGTGGCGGTTCGACCGTGATGCCATTGGACGTGCTTCGATATAGGCCCTTTCTGGAAGAAACAAAGGAAGATTCTGATCAAGTTTCTGTCAGTAGGTTTTCGTTTGGAGTTAAGCAAGGACTCAAAGGCCAGAGATGTACCTTACAGCTGAGGGGGGCTGGACAGAAGAAATAAGTTTGGTACACATAATGGCTGCTCTAATCCAGAAGATGAATAAGCTCAAAGATTTCTATGAAGTCTTCAAAATTGGGATTAAGATCACTAGACTCTGACATCAGCTGTCTCAGAGGTTAAGGCCCCCCGACAGCACTGCTGACTCCATCTGTATCAAGAGTGTTCGCTGGCAATAAAGAGGTTCAGTAGGGAACAGAAGGTTCAAAATCGATTCGAAGTCGTGCTTCCCCAATTCCCAAGTAGCAACAGTGCCAGTTGTAAACATGGGGCTACAGATCTTGGCTTGGTCGTCTAAATGGATTCTGACGTCGATGCCCCTTTGTAGCTCTTTCTCTGGTCCCCCAACCACAATTTCTTCTAACATAACTCAGTCTTCTGGAAGTGCGCAAGCAGTTGGCCAAAGGGGCATACCTTTGGGAGATTGTACTGCAGCTGCTTGAATTGCATTCGGACATTCCAAACTCCTGGGCTTCGCTGCAAAATGATTGGTAATGTATCAGGACAAGTGGAGCCAGCTATAGGATGGATAAGAAGCATACTAATGTACCTTCAGGACGCTCCGCATGTTCTTCAGCCGGTCCACCCCTTCCGGATGCGGCTCCTTCACCTCAAGAAAGTCATCTGGCAGCGTCCCCTGGGGCATATCAAAGAAGCCTGCGCCGTTGTTGTGTTTGAGGCAGTCATCGTGCCAAAAGACGTGAAGTAGAGCTTTATGATTGCTTTCTTCCCCCATTGCAACAAACCTTTTGCTGCCCCTAGAGATGAGGCACTTGGAAACCGTCTGCAGGGGCCAGCCAATTGGGAGCTTGCAGAAGACGGGCGTCAGCTCCAATTGCTGCAAGAAAGCAGCTCTGCTTAACGCAAGGGGTCCTGAAGACGGTCTCAGCATGTCACCTTTGGACAGGTGCTGGAGAAAAGTGATCAAGACAAAGGGTCCACATTGTTTTTGCAACAGCTGCATGGGGGCATGGGGGCAGCCATGCTGCTGTTTAACTTTAAGCCAATCTGCTAGCTGCCTTTGAAGTTTTAGGGTTCTGAATCTGACACAAACCCTAATTCTCTGTTGCCAGAAAGTTTCAGAATTCTGTATCCTTCAAAAATGTAGTTTGCCCTGCTTGATGTAGGTACATAGAATGCGGCGAGGCAAACGGGCAAGTCTTGCAGATGCAGTTTCTGATTCTAAATAGGACACACCTTGAACAGTCGTCAAATATCTGATCTGAAAATCCAAGAGCCAGAGGAGCCCTCTCTCTGTTGCAGCATGGAACAGTGCAGCCATGGCCCATGCCAATGGTTTGACGCCAGGTGCATGGCGCATTCTTCAGTCTAAGGCCGCTCTACGGCAAGGTGCAGCTAGCCGTGACGGCAAGGGGCATAAAGAATCCTAGATAGTGCTTTCATTGTCAGGGGAGCACCACTGGCAGCAACATGCCAATTCTGCTTTGTTCACTGCATTTGCTCCATGTGGAAGAATGTAGAATACTTAAGTGGGGTCCTTAGGTTTATGCAATTATGAATGCAGCTCAGTGCCCCAGAATGACCAAAAGTGTACAGCTCAGGAGCTCATTTTGGGGTGGCAGATCTGCAGATGCCGCATTCGGCGCGAGGAACTCAATTGCCTCCAGCACCTCATTGTCTCCCTGGGACTGCAACTTAGGGGGCAGGCTGATACTGCCAACTAGGAGAAGTAGTGGAAGGAATGTGATTGCGGCACACCTGCACACAAAGTCCTCTCCTTACGAATGTCTTTGCGGCGCCTCTGTAGAAACATTGCTGTTGAGAAGACGGCGTGGCCCTTCCACAAACAAACCGCACCGGGGCCGGAGCAGGTCTCTCGAGCTACGTGCATCCAGTGAAGACAGTGTGTCTCCTATCAGTCCTGATTGGAGGACTGGAACAGATTCGGACGGTCCGCATTGGGGAACTGATGGTAGTTCAGACAGTCCGGTCCTTCCAGTGGAGAATGGACTGGGGGATTTTCACAATGACCTCTTAGGAGAAATTGCTGTAGGGCGTCCGGCGCTTGAGAAACACGGAGGAGGCGAGAACGTAGCCGAACGAATGGCCTCGAACGGGCACTCATTTGTACAGGTAAGGAAGGGATCTGGTTCGCTTGACCGCTGCGTCCGGTGCTGCCAGTGTAGCACAGATCCTTCTTTATGTAAGAAAGTGGCTCGAACTTGTTGGGCAAGGTCTTCATTGTCATTTAATCAACTGCGCTCAGATTGAGTGGTCACTCACGTGGCGTTTGTAAGGGCTCTCATGCTCTGCACGCTCCTTGCAGTACGGGTAAGAAGTGGGAAATAAGGAGCCAAAGAATCTTGAGATGGACTTTTGACAATACTTGAGGTACAGCCAATGTAGGAAGCACACACACGCCGCGCCGTCGATTGCATATACAACTCAAAATTCACCGCTATCGCTCACTAGTTGAACAAAACGCTTCGTGTCCTGCAGGAGCCCCACATCGCCTCACCGGAAACCGACCATTGCAATGGCACCGGGACGACACACCCCCCTCCCAGTCCCCCCCGCCTCCTTGCTGCCTTTCTCCAGCATCCATTGGTTAAGCCCCTCCTCGGAGGCTGCCTCTTAGCAGCTTTCCTCTTCGTCAGTCAACTGTGCGCCAAGCGGGTGTTAACAAAGTTTGTTCTTCCCAAGGCGGCAAGCGTTGTGAGCCAGGCACTCGATAGGAAGGTGGAACTAGGCGCGGCGACGAATGTCAGTTTGTTTACAGGGCTGACGTTGGGGCGCACTGCGGTGGGGCCGAGCGGGACTGAGTTCTCGTGCGGGGAGGCGGCGAGCGTGAGAGTGACGGTCAATCTGCTGTTGAGCATTCTGAAGAGGCAGATTGTGTTGGAAGCGCTGATTGAGGAGCCGCAAGTGTTAGTGGCACAAGAGCCCGACTTTACGTGGCTCACTATTCCGCAGCCGTTGGACAAGAAAGAGGAGGTCGTGCAAGGGGCAGTGGATAGCCGGGCGGCGCAAATCAAAAAGTCGCGGGAAGAGAAGAAGGTCGAACAGGAGGCGGCGAGGGAGGCGAAAGCGGTTGAGATGGCGAGGCGACAGTTGGAGAGAATGGTGGGGCGGGCGTCGGAGAAGGAAACTAGAGTGGAGAGGAAGCGGTGGTGGAGAAGGGAGAAAGCGCGCAAGGGGAGCGTGAGGGAGATCTGGGCGAGGGTCCAGGCGGAGAGTGCGAGGGGGTTTCTGGTAAGCAGAGGTCTCTTGGAAAGGGGCGGAAAGGTTGCAGAAGAAACAATTGAGAGAGGGGAAGGAAGTGGGCAGGGGGAGCGAGAACTAGAGGCGGGAAGGAGGCAGGAAGAGACAATCCTTAAAGCTGATGAGGAAGCGGCGGAACAGAAGCGGAAAGAAAGGGAGCTACGACGGCAGATTGCCGAGCAGACAAGAGTGGATCTTGCGGGGTCGGAGGAGAAAGGAACGGAAGTGGAGAGGCAACGGGAGACGGATGAATCAGCCAGTCGTGAGGGGGAAAATTTGGAAGGGGCAGCGGAGATCGAGCGGGGCTCCGAGGTGATGTCGCCGCCAGTAGAGGATCTGCCGCTACTTGAGGCACTCCTGGAAGGGCGGTCTGAGATCGAGGGATTGGTTCCGGAAGGGGAGAAAGAGGAGGGCGAAACGATCGAAATGATTGGTGGTTTGGCGGAAGAAGAGGACGGATTTGACGGGAGCGGAGAAGCCCTCGAAAGCGAGGCCGAGGTCCTTACGGATGAAGAAAAGGGAGAAGACGAGACAGGGTCGGAAACAGAGGAGAGCGTCTCTCCGGAAGTTGATGCCGAGATGCATACGATAGAAATTGAGGAGGGACGAGTCAGTGACGTCACAATAGAAGTTGGCCGGTCGGAGTCCGGCCCGGGTAGTGAGGACGCAGGAAAGTTAGAAGAACTAGTAGTGGGGACAAACGTTCCAAAACCGGAGACGCCGGAAGATGAGGCCGTGGTTCCTTTGAAGCAGCAACTGATCGCCGCGATTCAGCGGAAACTGGCGGCAGAGAAAGCGGAGCAAGCGACAAAGAGCCGCTCGCAAAAGCCGAAGCAGGGGGAAGCGGGTTCGGGCGTGCCGAGTGGGGCAGCTTCGGCAGCAGAAAGAAGGGGGGGGTTGAGCGAGCGGAGAAGCGAAAGTGGGGAGAGTAGCAGACGAGAAGCTGACGTATTTGCCGAGCGGCGCGCGAGCGGGTCGGCCGCGAGTACTAGCTCGTCGGGGGGCGGGACTCAAAACGCGCACAGGGAAGGCAAGAGGGCCAAGGGCGCGGCAGCGTCCGCCTCTCAGAGGCGGGAAGCTGCAAGGGTGCCAGAGGCAGAGAGCGTTGCAGGTGGTTTGAGTACAGACGCCAAGGCCGAAGAGGGAGGGGTTTCGGGAGGGGTTGGGGGGGAGGATGCAGAAGCGGAAAGAGCGAGCGACAAGGGGGAGACGGACAAAGCGGGAGCGAAGAAGGAAGCGCGGGAAGAGAAGAAGAAGCGGGCGATTGCGGTGCTGGAAAAGGTTGTCATCAAGAAAGGGACGCTGATGCTGCTCCCCTTTGGGGACCAGGCTGTCAGGTGAGAGGGATGGGGCCTGCTGTGTTGGACAATCGGAAGTGTCATTTTTCTTTGACGTCACGTCAGAAATACTCTTTGGGTGGACAGCGCATGTTACAGGATCGTAGCTCCGTTCTAAGCGTTCTAAGCGCCGTCATTTCACCTTTCAGCGCGCTCCTCGTGCTGCAGTCTGTGGAGATTCTAAAGACGGAAAGCCAAAGAGTTTGTCCAGCTTCTTTGTACTGACCAGCTTCTCTGGACTGATGTGTTTTCTACAAGAGTTTCTCGAGATGCATATTTAAAAAGTTCAAACGGTGGAAGCCGAGTGGCTTTGCGATCCGGTTGTCGCTTGTCGAAGTTGGTTTAAGATGCATGCACGTGTTCAGCAGAGTTGATCTCCGTCCCGACTTCTTTCAGCAAGTGGACCGGTTCCGATGATCCTTCCTTATCTGCCATCCAGCTGACAGCCGACTATTAATCTGGTACAAAATGGAGGCGCGAGGGATTCTGTCGTCACAAGATCTTGATGATCAAACGATTGGATCGGCAGACTCGGTTTGAGAGGCCGGATCGCAGAAGATCGGAGAATGTTTGTACGGCCAAAAGCACCAGAACGGCGCTGTTGATGCTGTTTCAAAGGCGATGACTCTCATGTGGTCTTTTCTCAGACAGCTTCTCGTCATTCATTGCGCAGGAGAGTGGAGGACGTGTCGACGACGGTCGATCTGGAAGACGACTACAACAAGGTGGCGGTCGACGTGGCGGGCCGTCTAGTAAAGCGGCCCGACTGCGGCGAGGGCGACGGTGGGCGCATCGGCGTCAAGGTCAATGTGGATACTGAGTGAGCACATCACATTGAATCTATCTGTTCAAAGGGCCACGTGGCGTCAGCAAAAAGGGGTGACCTCTGCGCAGAGACCGGTGCTTGCATCAGCTTCACGAAGGTCAACTGTCGTTCGCTGGCGAGAACTGGGCCGTTGAGCTAAGACGAACGGCTCCGTTTCCAGAGAAAGTTCGGAGATGTCTGCTGCTGACCCGTCTGCAAGTATGATTCAACCTAGGAATAACACAAAAGGAACAGCCCAACCAGTCCACGTGTTCGATCAGCGAGTGAAAGTTCAGAAGAGGGGGTAGCCTCAAGTGCACGGTAGGGTTCCGGGGTTCTGAATGGTTGCCAAACCGAGCTCCGGTCCGAATGACCAAAATGGCACCTCTAACACTTACATATTTGTATCGATGAGTCTAAATTTCCTTGCGAAAGTCAAAGTTTGAGCATGATTTGGCGTCCCCCCCTTATCTGCAGGGCGCACGCTTGGAATGTCCGAGTACTAGCGGACGAAGTCCACGGTCCGAATACGGACAATCAACAGAGTGCAAGCACCTCTACGTGTGCAATGATATGCATCAAGTCTCACGTCTCTCTTACGCTGCTTCTCAGGCCGCATTTCTGAACATTTCTCCTTCTTTCCAGGGCGCACGCTTGGAACGTCCGAGTCCTTGCGGACGAAGTTCACGGTCCGAACTTGGACCACCTGCTCGAGATCCCTATCGACATCAAAACGGGGGTTGCGACGGGCGACGTGTTTGTGTGGATGAATAAGGAGGACACGTTTCCGCATCTGAGGGGAACGGTTAAAGCGCGTGACGTCGACTTCCAGATTTGGGATGCGCCCGCCTCCTTCCATGAGTAAGTACTGAGCTGGACTCTTGATGTTGCCCATTTTTTCAACAATTGCTACTTTCTTTGCCCCCTAAGTTTTACCTTGTTGGCTGTGTAGTCCTGTTCGTCGTGCTCTGAGAAGCACTTTTGAAGCTTGCAGGTTTTAGGTCGGTCGAGAACTGGTAACAAGCTGAAGGGTTGCGAACAGGATGTGTATTGAAAACAGTCAAATTGAGATGGTATCGGCGAGAAGAAACTCATACTTGCCAGTTTTGTGAAGACCAGCGCACGTTCTTTGACAAGGCGATCGGCTCCTACGGCCCGAACAAACCTTAAATCGTGGCTCCTCTTTCCTTTCGTGCTAATTACTAAAGGGACAAAATGCCAGTGACAGTTATTGAAAGAATCATCTACCAATTTTGCAGGACGGAGTTAGACTTGGTCTTAGAGGATCAGCGCATGTTCTTTCACAAGGCGACTGGCCGGTACGGCCTCGTCAACATGACAATGTCCGGCGATATGGACCTTAACCCGATCGGAGGGGAGTACCGATTCTCCGCCAAAATCCCGGGGGTGGAGATTAACCAACTCATGCTAACCTTGAAAGCACGCCCGCCCCCGTACCCGGTTGCGGGCGTTCTGCGGGGCGACTTCTTTTGTCAGGGCGCGCTGGAGGTAGAGCTTTCCATATCTTTAGATCTTTTTAGACGTTTGTAAGAGTATCATAAATTCCTATTAATGTTCGTCATTAATAAGCGTTGATGCATGGTCCTGATGTTTCGACGATAGTCACGCTGCTGTTGCACGAGTGCCACGCTGCGAAACGCTGGTCGATTCAGCTGCAGCCTGGAAGTTGGATAAGTGCAAAGTAGCACTCCGACTTGCAGTCTCTAGTTTGTGAAGACTTGATCCAGACTGCAATATCCTCGCAGTCTGCTGAAAACCTGGAACCCTAGTTGGGTCGAGCCCTTGTTTCGAGGAGCGTTAGTTTCGTGGACCACCAACACACTCACATTGCTGCAGGCACCCGTCTTCAGCGGTCACGTCAGGGCGTCCGCCGCTGACGTCAGCAGGGCGGTGGCGGCCGTGGACCCGCCGACGTTTGCGTCGACGGCGCTGCGGGACACCCCCGGGGCGGTGGGGGCGTACGACCACGTGCCGTTCGAGTCGGCGGTGGGGAGCTTCGACTTCGATACCGACACCTGCGTAAGGAGCTTACCACATTTATGTCACTAATTTGGTGCACTTACATCAGCCCCATTTGACTCCGTATTCCTTACCTCAAGCTGTTTCCCTGCTCAAATACGAGCGGGGTCGTTCAAACAACGAGGCGAATCGGCTTTCAACGAGGAACGAGGGTTATGAGGCGTTCGACCACGTGCCATTCGGCTCGGCGGTTGAGAGCTTCGACTTTGATACGGACACCTGTGTAAGGCGCTGGTTGCATTGGCATGCCGCTTGCCCGCTTCACTTGACTTGCAGAACTTCTGCACTAAGGTATCCCCACTAGTCGTAAAACATGAATAGCAGCGGCCGTTCTGGCTTTGCTGAGTCTATTCTTTTTCCAGACTGTGGCTCGAGTGTCTTGTTGCATCGGGAGACAAAGGGGAATGAGGGTACTTGACTAACTCTGTCATTTTTGGTGAGTATAGCCAAAGTAAAATACCACGCGTTTGTTCCACAGTCTTCCCACACTTCTTCATCGTGAGGACAGAATGATCTCTTTTGTTGACGGAGAAGTCACTCTTGCAGATGGCCAACATTCACGGCATCAAGGTTGTACCGGTTGGCGGAGGGGAGGTCACGGCCCAAGGACAGCTGTGGATCTGCCCAGAGGTAAGACTTCGTCGGTTCGTCCTGCTGTTTGCGTCGAACTTGGCACCCGAGCTCGGACTGAGACGCGAAATCCTCGATATCGAGTTGCGATGTCGATCTCCGATCGTTGATGGACACGCCCCCGGAAAAAGTCAGCAGTACTCCGGCCGACCCAAGTCTCCCTTAATTAGCGACCAGAAATCGATGTGCGGAGTTCTTCCGGGGGGATAGCTTGGGAAACATCAGGAGCAACATTGGGACTCGGGATCGAAAAACGGGCGTTCCGATTCGAGCTCGGATGCCAATCTTGACGCAAACAGCAGTGTGTTCCAGCTCTTTTGGTACTTAACGATTGTTGGATTAATATTGACTGTCTACTATCGGTACTCCATGGAAGAAGCCTACGGTACTAGTCAACTGAGAATGAGCAGGTCTCTGAATAGTGACGCCTTGGTCAGGGTCGAATCGAGAGCACTCTTTGCTCGGGGTAACGATTCTTGGCAGCGCTTTCTCTAAGCTGAACGTCCGCCTTGATTCTTACAAAACACTATTCTGGCTGTGCTCACGAGATTGCACTTGTCGCACGGTTTTGTTCAATCTATCACATCGTTACCGTCATTTTTCTTCCTGTTACATTCTCATGCCTTGAAAACAAAGACGCCACAAACACGTGATCGTAGTGCCTTGGAACATTGATTCAGCAGTACAATGTTCGTTGCTTTGCAGGGCGAGGTCGATCCAAACGCAGTGGATGTCAAAGGCGAGGCGACCGCAGTCCCCGCAGACTCAATAATTCTGCGTTACATCCCCGAGGGGACGCAACCGCCGCCCGTGAGCTTCGGGCGCATGAAAGGGGAGGCGAGATTCAGGGGGTCCATTTCAGCGCCGTAAGTTAGCCTCTGATTTCGATCATGTTCTGGTTGATTGCTCCTCAGTTTTACGCTCAGGTTCAAGATCAAGGTGACGTCAGCCCAAGAGAACGACGATCAGTCTTGGTCCAAAAAAAAGTTGAAGGAGGTTGCTTGGGCAATGCTTTTGACAGTCTGGCTTTGCTCCTCTAAACTGTGTGCAATCTGGCATTGTAAAGAAGTGATTTATAGCGACGAGCGTCCGCAGCACTTGCTGCATCGTCGTGCTTATGTCCTCGATCTGAACAGCGGCAGAAAAACGTTCGTTTGCAAAGAGGCGTACCTTGTGAATCCGAGAGAAACAGTGCTGTCTTGGAGCAACTCCGCCTACGCTTTCTTCTAGCCTTCCATTGACCATGAAACAGACGGGCCCCAAAGCCAGCGGCTTTCGACCATTTTCGACAAATCCTCCGTTCGCTTTACATCCTAAACCTTGAACCCTGGAAACCTACCCTAAACAGGGCTAAACTCATAGATGGTAAATATTTCATAAGATCCTAACGTTCGATAAACCACAAAACCCTAACTTGTTATGCAGGGTTATCGACATGGACTGGACAGCCCCCGAAGCGAGCGGCTCACTGGACGGCGCTCAAGGCCACCTCCGAATCTCCAAAGAGGCGATCCGGTTAAGCGGGAGTGCACCGACGTTCGACCTCGCCGCGACGGTGCACACGTCATCTCCCGAGCCGGTCCCAACCGCCGAGTACTGGAAGCTGAGTAAGGAGGAGAGAGCCCGGGTGGAAGCGGAATCGAAGCCGATTATCGAGGTAGGAGCGTATTTGTATTCTGCTGCCATAAGCGTTGGGTGGTCTTGCTTCTGAGTTTTTGCCTTCTTTGGAACCGAGGATTGCCGGCCGTGTGGCAGAAGGTTGGGAGAGAGCCCGGGTGGAAGCGGAGTCGAACCCAGTTATTGAGGTGAGAGTCGGAACTCTCTGCTGCCATAAGCTTGTGTGGTTTTGCTTCTTGCTTTTCGCCTACTTTGGAAGCAAGGATTGCCCGCCGTGAGGAGGAGAGAGTCCGGGTGGAAGCGGAATCGAAGACAGTCACTGAGGTGAGGACCGGAACTCTGATCTGCTGACATCAGCTTTGTGTAGTCGTGCTTCTGAAGATCTGCGTTATGGGCTTTCTGTGGATCCAAAGATTGCTGGCCGTATGACGGAAGGCTTTTCAAGAAGAGGGAACGCCAGGAAGCGAAGCCGAAGCCAGTCATTGAGGTGAGAGCTGGATCGACTTGCTTTCAAAAATTCAGTTCATTTCTGTGTGACGTTGCATCTGGAGGTGCGCAGATTGTGGCATTCTCCCGAAACCGGGAACCGTTGTCTGTGTGCTAAAAGGTCGTCTGGATTGAGACGGGCTTTAAGCAAGTGGTTTCTTTGACATTTGTCCGGTAGTCTTGGAATCGTGTAAATCTTTTGGGGCAGCCAACGCGGACTGCTCATCCGTCCGCTGGATATCTGTTTGAAAGCTTTGGTTGTTTCCCAAGCTCTGTTTTGTCGGAAGCCTGCGTGCACTTTCTTTCCGCGTTGCTTCACTTCTCGCGCATGTCCATCAGATGAAAGGCTAGTGAGGCGCTAGACAATGTTTAAGTCGAAAATCTCTGTTGCTGCAGGGCTGCGAGCTAGACTTGCGGCTGAAGGGCTTTGACCTTGTGGGCCTGGCGGAAGACCAGAGCACTCCCCCTCCGCCCCCGTCACCAGAGAACCTCCATCTTCGGGTGGGTGTGCACTAAACGGGACGGATACTATACCTGCAAACAAAGCATCTTGTTGTGCTTTGCATCTGGTCTCTTGGCAAGTCGTCAATTCACGTCAACAGTTTTCGTTGGGTCTGTCGAGTATCGTCTTCATCGGCACACGAGATGTGGGGGAAGAGCGCATGGAGCGCCCGAGTTTCAGCACATTCAAGATGACAATCGTCATTCTGGAAAGAGCGTCTGTGAGTAGGATCTGGGAGCAGGAAGTTTGCTGAGCTTGCGGCGTAATGCAGTGATCCCCCGTTTGCAGACCACTGGCCGCGTCAAGTTCTCCGGTAAGGTCGCCCCCCAGCTGACAGGAGCCGCCACGTCCCGGGGCATGCCGGAACTGCCGGGCCTGAGCGGGGACATCGCACTGAGCAACATAAAGTTGAACCAACTGTTGATCGCTCAACAGTTGAGCGGGACGCTGGACGTCACACCCTCGGGGTTGCAGGTAAGCCGTTGCTTTTGACATCGTACCAGTCTCTCATGCAAGGACCTTCACCCACGATAGTCAACGCATCTTTCCACTTTTAGCAAGAGAATCAGAATGACAGAAGGAGATAAGCTTAAATTTTGGTCAAACCGCTTCTGTCGACCTTGGGGGTTCGCCAAATACGAGCAGTGGAAGCTAAATTGCGCGCCTCCGCTGGGTGCGGACCAGTTACTTCGTCCGAACTCGGAAGCCTGGAAACCCCTCGCAAATAACCCATCATCTTCCTCGCGACGAAAGAAATGCATTGCCTACATTCCTTTTCCTTCCTATTGGATCCAAGCGGGCGCAGAGACGAGCACTTCAGCTAGACTCCATAGCCGGGCGCGGACGGAGTGATCAATTACAGGACAGGGGATTGTACCCTTTCTTTTTGGGTGCTTGTTCTGCGCGCAGCAGGCTAAGAAGAACTCTTTTACTTGAAGAGTTATACAATTCAACACAAGCGGTCGCCAAGACGAGCACTTGAAGCTAGACGTCGCGGCCCGCTCTGGTGCGGACGGCGTTCCGGCGTCCGAAGCGAGACGTTCTGCATCCATTCTCTGAAAGTCCTAGACTTCCCTTCTTCAAAGTAAGGATTCAAGTATGTGATTCCGCGCATTGGTTTGGTTGGACAGTTGAAGACGAGGGGTTGCCAAGACGAGCACTCGAAGCTAGACATCACAGCGTGGACAGCGTTTCGGCGTCCGAAGCGAGACGTTCGGCGTCCATTCTCCAGCGATTTTCCGTTTATCCGGATCTTGGATTTGAGTCTGTAACTTCGTGCATTCATTTGCAGCTGAACACAAGCGGTCGCCAAGACGAACAATGAAGCTAGATGTCGCAGCGGGGCCGGGCGGGGACATCACGACTGTATGAAACGAGGACTGCGCGCACGTATATCTCTTTTGACAAAAGATGAACGAAAACATGTAATCATTTGCTTTAACTGATACACTTGAATACAAGCGATCGCCACGACGAGCACTTGAAGCTAGACGTTGCGGCGCGGACAGCGTTTTGGCGTCCGAAGCGAGACGGGTTGCGTCCATTCTCCAGCGACTCTTTGTTTTCCTGAGTCAGGTAACGTGTCTGTAACTCCGGCATTTGCCTGCAGCTGAATACGAGCGGTCGGCAAGACGAGCACTTGAAGCTAGACGTCACGGCGCGCCCAGGCGCGGACGGCGTTTCGGCGTCCGAAGCTAGCGCGGTGGACTTCTCGTGGCGGCGCGGACAGATCCGGACTGATCTGAAGTTCAGGCCGGGCATGAGTCGGCTGGAAGTGCAGCACCTGCCGCTGGACGAACTAGAGCTGGCGTCTCTTCGAGGAAACGTCGAGAGGGTGAGAAATTTTGACTGGCTTGAAGAAGTGCGCCGAAAGGAGCGCGGGTCTGCCCTTAGTTTTGACGAAACGTTTCGGCCTGAAGTGTAGCACCTGCCGCTGGACGGAACTTAATGCTGGCGTATCCACGAATTGTGTGAATACGGCCTCTTTGTCCTGAGAGAACCGGCGGGATGAGAAAGCGCGGCCTTTGCTCTCATGACCAACGAAAAGTTTCGGGTTCAAGCCGCGCATGAGGCGGCTGTACATGCGAACAGGAGCTGGCGACTCTTACAGGGGAACGGCGAACGGGTGAACGATGGTTCAGTCCTATACTGGAGCTTCGCAGAAGCGCATTTCGCCTTTCGGAACAGTAACCTGCACCTTTCCTTGGCTTTCCACAGGGATTCGATGTGAGGAACGCTGCCCAAAGCTTTGCAGACGGCACTCGTTTTTGGCGAAGCTTTCAATGGAGCAAGTAACCCGAAAAATCAACGCGCAAAGAAAAGGAAGTTTCAAGGTGCTGTAGTGGATCCGCGGTCCCCCTGATGCGCAGGTCGACCTGAACATCAATTTCCAGCGGAAGAAGGGCCAGGGCTACGTGCTATTCAAGCGGCCCAAGTTCAGCGGGCTCAAGGGCGAGGTCCTCGAAGGAAAGCTTCGGTGGTCGGGCGACGTGGTGAGCCGGAATCCGCGTTAGAGGAAAAGGTCCAGATAGAGGAAAATCATAGGTCGACCGATTTTGAAAAAGAAAGGTTCCTGCCCGAATTGACTACCGTCTTACTTTTTGCTTTGTGAATCTTCGATGCCGAATAATCGGTGATGAAATTTTTTGACCCTCTCGGCAGACCAAGAGTCGCCTGCTAAAAAGTTCCATTATCGCCCTTAATAATAATTTTATTTTTCGGCAGGGCAAATATCGTGTGAACCTGTTTTGAAGTCGAATACCTGTACCGTAACTTTACACCCCCAACTCAACCCACCCCTTCCTGCGCTGTCGTTGATCTTCTTCTGAGCTCACACGCCTAACACCGAAGTTAACCCAAGCCAAGCCGCCGACAGCAAACCATCCGCCTCGAGATGGTCAATACAAGGTGCTTGTTAATTAACGAAGCGTGTAAAAGACGGCGTTAACATTGCAGACTTGAAAGTATTCCAATCTGCGTTAAACATAAACGGTAGTGCGACTCTTGAAGTAAGGGTCCAAAGCGGGGTTCGAGGTAACAACAAAGGTTGATTGACTTTTCGTCAATCTTCGGTTTGACAACCGTCCGGACTCACTCGGACATGCTCAAGGAGAGAAGCAGAAAAGGTGTCAATACAAAGAAGGAGAAGCCAGGGCAAGACGAAGAACGACTTCTGCATCGGATAATGTCCCGCTTCCGTTCTTTCCGTGACGCTATGCCGGCCCTCAACTCTTAGACTGCGCACCCAGAGCATGAATTGAAGAAGCTAAAAGGGGGCACATATTTGCGCGCCCGTCAAGTTCTAAAGATGAGAGGAAGCCTGTATAGTGCATCATCTCGTACAGCTGTTGAGCTTCTCCTTTTCTTTTGCTCCAGGTGACGCTTGAGAAGCTGGCCCTGATTGAGGTCCCGGAGCAGAAACAAAGAGGGGTTCCGAATCAACTTGTAATACAAGAAAAGTGGTGAATCTGCGGACTTCAACCCATTCTTTCCTTTCAGGTGACGCTCGAGAAGCTGGCCCTCAACCAGGCGCACAGTCGCTATGATGTGCAAATGGAGTACGTCCTCCCGGGGGAGGGCTCGCGGTTTGCGCCGGAAGACACCATCGTCTCAGCGGCGGCCAAGGTGAGGCGACAAGCAGGCGCCGCTTTCTCTATACAGGACAACAACCATATGCACTAGAGGGCTCTTTTACTAAGACGACTCCCTTTTCTTTCGAGCGGGTCTGCTGGTACGAAGTTTGACAAGCAGCGCCGCTTTCTTCATTCGAGATAACAACCATACACTTCAGCGTTAGAGGGTTCTTCTAAGACGGCTCTCCTTTCTTTCGTGCGGTCTGTACTGGTGCTGCTTCGCTGCTCGTATGGTCATGAGTCTCTTCACGGGTTCATATGTCATGGTAAGAAGTAAGTGTACTACGTGAGATCCGGGGAACTTTGGGTTGGCACGTGCAGCCTCCTAGAATGGTAGTACTTGGTCCTGACAAACGCGGCAGCCCCTTGCGGCAGGTGCAGTGTCTAGAGTGTCTGCACGATCATGATCGCCACAGCCGCAGCCGAAGCGAGATTCCGTTCCAGTCTTCCGCTGACGTGCTGACTGCCCCTCTGTTGAAAGAGTCGCAAGATTTTCCTTTTTGTCGAACAGGGAGCCATGAAAACGGGCTCGGAACAGAAGACGGAGTTCGGAGCGTCGGTGCCTGAGCAATGGCAGAAACCGCGCCCATTTTCTAATTGATTTGCGCAGCTGAGCATCATAAAGACAGGGGAGTGGCTTGCGACTCTGGACGTCCGTGCACGGAGGTCGCGGAGATGCTTAGATTTGGCTGACGTCTATGGCGAAAGTCGGCTGACGTCAGCAGATATTTCTATAGCTGAGAAAAATGAAGACGGGCCTTTGGCGCGTGAAACCGGACGTGCCGCATGCGGACCCCGCAGAATTGTACCCCGCAACGCGCATTCTCATTTGGTAATCGGCTGACTTCAGCAGTGGAAACCAGCTGACGTCAGTTATACGTTATGCTGAGCAACATGAAGACAGGCGGTGGCGTGTCAAGCTGGACGTGCTGCGCGCTGACCTCACGGAGATGCTAAAAGGCAGACGTCAGTAAGTAGATTCTGGCTGACGTCATCACTAGAATTGTGCTGACGTCAGTAATTGTCGCTTGCAGCTGAGCAACATGAAGACGGGGCGGTGGCGCGTGAAGCTGGACGTGCCGCGTGCTGACCTCACCGAGATGCTCCCCGCGACGCGCATCCTGTCGCAGTCCAAGGACCCGGAGGTCGCGTACCGCTCCAAGGAATTCTTCATGGACGCCGTCTCTAGTTGCGGCTTCGTCGCGGAGTCGCTGACGGAACAGCTGCAAGTAAGGAGAAAGGCTATTATCACATGCCTTTTGTCTCATGATTGCCTAATTCACGCGTTACACTTATCTTGTGACCTTCAGCGCTATATTGTCTGGAAAACGGCCGTCTCCAGCTGCGGCTTCGTGGTGGACTCGCTCATGGAACAGCTGCCGGTGGGCTAATTACGACTGGAATATGTGCTGCTTTCTTTGGCTCGTTGTAGTACTTAAAAGTTCTTTCTTTGCCAGGCAGTCTGCTCCGACCTTCCCACTGATTTGAAGGTATGCGGCTGTTCCTAAGCCTCCCGAGCTGCTCTACTTCTACTCTCAACAGAGACGCTCCTTATTCTCGTCTTGACTCAACAAACACCTCCTCTTCTAATCCAGCGACCCTTCGTCTCAATTTCGTCCCGCAATGGTTGGCAAAATACCTTTCCGCTTCTTTTGACACGCTTGCCTCAAATTACAGGGAGGACGACGGACCCCCGATCTAACACTCAAGTTTCTGTTACGATTGCTTGACGAACGCCCTTCTTGCTCGTTTGTACAGACGCTCGCGTTCCAAGGCAAGGACAACGACGAGCCCTCAGACCTTTCCCAAACGGACCTCTCTGATTCTCTGAGGAGGTACCTCTTCCGGGGTTTCTGGCATCGTGCTGTTGGACAACCTCCTTCCTTCTTTTCGAGACGACCTTATATCACGATTCTCCACCAACTATCTTCTTGCTCTTTTCGCCAGACGCTCGCTTTCAAAGGCAAGGACGACGACGAACCTCCCGACCTGTCCCAGGCGGATATTTATGAGGAAGTATCGCTTCCGAGGATTCGTTCTCCTCTGAAACTACTTTGCGGACTTATCTCCGCCTCACAATGGTTCGCAAATGCACTTCCTGCTCATAAACTTCCTGCTCATACACTTCCTGCTTGTTTCTACAGACGCTTGCTTCCAACGGCAAGACGACGTTAAACCCCCCCACTTTCCCCAGGCGGACCTCTTCGAAAAGGTTCCTCTTCCAGGTTTGGCGGAGCTCAAGGATCTACACTATTTCGAAACAATCCTGCACCTTATCACCGCCGCAATATCAGCTCGCAAACGCTTTTCCTGCTCGAGTATACAGACGCTCGCCTCCAAAGGCAAGGACGACGACGAACCCCCCGACCTGTCGCAGGCGGACCTGTCCGAGGAGGTACCTCTTCCGGATTCGAGGGAGCTAAAGAATCTGTACTATGACAAAAGAAAATCCGCCTTATCACCGCCGAAAAATAGTCCGCAACCGCTTTTCCTGCTCGTTTCTACAGACGCTCGCTTCCAAAGGCAAGGACGACGACGAACCGCCGGACCTGTCGCAGGCGGACCTGTCCGAGGAGGTACCTCTTCCGGGTTTGGCGGAGCTCAAGGGGCTGTGGTACGGGAGCGTGGAAGCGAGCGGGGGAGGGAGCGGAGAGACCGTCGCCAAGTTTGACCTGCGGGGGGCAAATTGGGAGTGGGGCATCTACAAGATGCAGGACGTCGTCACCACGGGGGGGTGAGAATCCTCCTTGTTTGAGGGGGGGTTGTCGATTGGATGAAAGCGGATTTTCACGCGTGCAGGAGAGCGGCTTCCGTCTTTACAGGGACTTGGGTTGTACAGATCAGGACGTGGGTCATTACGGGGGGGTGAGAAAGCCGCTAGACTGACAAACGAGTGTTGATTGGATCAAAGTGATTCGTTGATCAAATTGGAGTGCTTTGTTGGGTGGATGAAACTTTAAGCGAGCAGGAGAATTGCGACAAGGGGATCCAGAGAAGCACTAGTTGCAAGACGCGGTCGCTACGAGGGTGTGGATATTCTGACTGATCCTGCCTGAAGCCTGACAAACGAGAGGGGAAACGACCAGCCTTACTTTCGAAAGGGACCACTCCCTCTCGTCTTGTAAGTAAGACACTTAAATCTCTTTAGTTTGCAAAAAGAACATGGCTTGTGGGCTTTGATAAATCGATTTACTGGCTGATATTATCGACGGGACTTATTGACGTGCCACAAGCACTCCCGTGAATGGTTGTAGAACCAGATCCTTTCTTGACCCAGGTACACCGAAGAACACGGGCTCCGAGTAGACCGTTTCTTCATCCAGCTCGACACCGCCTCCCTGCACGCCGACGGCACCATCTCCGACCTGGGCTACATGATGGGGGGGTCCCCACGCACCTCAATCCACCCCCCCGGAGAGCCGCACCCGCCGTCCGACAAGAACAACCTCCACTTCGCACTGCTCAACTTTCCCGTCGGTCTAGTTCCGCCGCTGCTCCAAGCCGTGAAAGCGTCTTCCGCCACACCGGAAACGGAACAGGCCGCTATGCCCCAATGGAAACTGAGGGGCGATTTGCACATGGAGGGCGATTTGTACGGGACTCTGCGGAAGCCGCAGTGTGAAGTGAAGGCGCGGTTGCTGGACGGCGCGTTTGGGGGGGTAGGCCTGTCGAAAGCGGAGCTGAACGCGAGCCTCGCGGCGACGCAGCGGCTCGAGCTGTCGGCAGTGGTGAGCTATGGTGTCGCTTGATACCCTACGCCACCTCTGGAAAGCGCGAGTCTTGTAAAACTCTTTTTGCACTGCCTGATGATTCTGTGGTTCCTTGTAGATCAGTTATGCGACCTACGTCCTTCTCTATTCATGCTGTGAATTTCTATTGAGTCCGTGTAACAGAAGTCCATGCCAGCTTCAATATCAACATCACGAACCCATGTCTGGCTCACGAGGAGAGCGGATAGCCTGCTGAGTCGAGTCTCACGTCTGCTAGAATGACATCCTCACTTTACGACGGGAGTGTTTCTTTACGATCCAAATGACTGAGATTGATTCCGGTTGAGAAGCTGGGCTCTGCTAACATGCACACCCTCAACTGCGGAAGAAAAGCCAGATTCTGGTGCACATACGTCTCCGCTGACGATCTCAAGCCTTCAAGACCTTACCACACGGAGAAGTCTTCGATAACGCCTCGACAAAACAGAAATACTCAGCATGAGTCTTTTTGTCATGCAGCTTGAGCCCTCGACTCCTGGCGGCTTCGTCAAAGTGGGGGGCAGCGTTCAGCTGCGGCCGCCCCCTCCGCTACCCCCCCGAGAAACTCCCCCCCCCGGCTCCGACCTCTTCTCGACGGGGCCTCTCGACGCTTCCGCCCACTTGATGGACGGGTTACGATGGGACGAAGAGGGCCTTCCGTTCAGTGCAATTCTGGAAGAAAAGATTGAGGAGACGGGGGAGTTGCGAATTGATGCGGAAGTGAAGGACTCCGGGATGATGCTGATGAACGCGGTGTCGCCGCAGCTGGAGTGGATCCAGGGGACCGCCAACATCGTGCTTGCGGTGAGGAAAGCATATAGAATGGTTCGACTGGTTAAGTCGGCAAAGGGCTGGGGAAAGACGGTTGGAGGTTGCAGTATTGATAGCTCACTTTTCG